AAAAAAAAAAAAAAAAAAAAAAAAAAAGTATCTTTCACAGTGTATGGAATTTTAAAACCATTCAACTATAGTTCTCTCCAAAATTTCCTCTAGCTATTATGTTTTATAAATAATTTTAAAGATTTAGAAATCATGTAATATTTTTATTTTTATGTTAGAACATCAAACATGCAATTTTTGAATTCTACCAATATATACAATTAAGTAATTATGGTGACATATTAACTTTTAATATTATTTTCCTAGACCAAGTATGCAACAAAAGCATGCTTCTTGAAAATAAAATGATAGACACTGTCATGTGCTTATCATAAAAATAGTCAAGTTTTCACTTAAAAGAAATTCTTTGGATAGAAGAATTTTAACGTCTATGATACCAGGAAGTTTACATGATTTACTTCCCAAAATGGAATGAGAATTGCCATTACTGAACAGGCACCTTTTTAAAGATAAGCAGCTACAGTTATTTAAAACTCAATTTAAATAATCATACATAATTTAGAGTTCAAAATGTTTGGTATTGTTGATTATCAAAAGATGGATCGTACCACATTCTGGAGTCAAAGTGTACATTTTTCTATTCAAAGGAACACGTGAAAATATCAATATCCTGTGCATTCTGACATTTTCATTTTTCCTTAAAGCTAACATGATGGGATTGTATTCTTAGGTGACCAATTTTGAACTATTTTTAGTAAGTCACCTGGGGGTAAATGAGAATTCTACCATTCAGAGTGTGCTTCCTGAGAGAAAATCATGAGAATTACAGGTGATGAAATGGCCTCAAGTGTTATTTCAAGCAGTCTCTGGTCCTTGAGCTCCCATACTCTTCAAAGAGGGAGAGAGGAGTAGGAGGCTCCAACTCACTGGGTTCTTAAGCTCTCAAGAATTTTTTTTTTCAAGTCATTATCAGCCTTCACCATGCAATAGCTTATGATAAATTCAATGAACAGTTTTCTTTTTCTATTAAGCTTGCTAACTCCACCTTACATAATAGTTGTCATAATCCCTGGACTGCCAGAACCAAACCCCAAAGAGAAGCTACCAGGCACATTCCTGTACTAGTAGTCCTAGTATGATTCAAATGTGCTTTCAAATTTATCCTGATACTCTGCTTACAGTAAGTTGCTTTACAGAACCCTAAGGCAGTATGGCCTTTACAGTTAAACCCTACCTAGCTTTTGGCAGAGATATCTGAAGGCGTATGTCACAGAATAGGCTGCATTCACGAAGTATGTATTTTGCTGTGTGCTTCAGACAAGTGCCCTAATGGTAAGGCTGCTTGCTGGGATCTGGATTTCGGAGGTCATGAGCATGGTGCTGAAGACATGCATGAAGAGAGTGAGCACTCACCTCTGGGAGAACTGGGGCAAGACAAAGTTCAGAGAGGCTGGGATGCCCTTTCATTCTGTGTCATGAGAGGGCACCGTGCCAAGCAGCCAATGCCAGAACGTTTGTGCTTTAATTCTTTACAAACACAATAAACTAGAAATAAGTCTAAAGTGATGCTAGAAATAAAGGTTGAACTCAATTCTAAGAATGCTGAAAAATTCCAGTTTAGAACAGCTGCACTTTTCTTGAAGGAGCTTAGGAAAAAACTTCTACAGAAAAGCACAAACTCGGGTTATGTTCACTGCAACATACGGATACTAGCCAAAAAGGTCACGATCAATCAGTGCAGCGAGTTTTTAAATTCAATTTCTAGGCCCCAGCATGGGTGTCCTTGTAGTCTGAACCTTGATCGGAGAGAAGGTGGAACTAATTTTCTGGGTGAAACTTTGAGTATACCTTACCTCAAATGCTCTGGGTTCACGATACTTAGGCATTTACAGAGCTGACAGCAAGCACCATCAGCAGTGCTGCCACATGAAGTATAAAATATTCTATATTGTCCCCCTTTATTTTTCTTCTTCTTTCCCTTGCAGTACTGGGAATGAACCCAGGGCTTTCATACTGAGATACACTCCCAGTGCATTTTTTTTGTTTTTTTTTTTTTTTTTTTTTTTTTTTTGGTACCAGGGATCGACATGCCCTGTGTTTTTTAAAAATTTTATTTAAAAATTTTGAGGCAGGGTCTCACTAAGTCATTAAGTGCCTGGGATAGACTCAAACTTGAGATCTTCCTGTCTCAGCCTCAGTGCTGGGATTACAGCTGTGTGTCACCATACTCGGTGTCTGGTGGCTTTTCTCTCTTGCTTTTAAAGAATTCCTGTTCCTGAGGCTACTGAACTGGAACACTATTAAGCAGTGTAGGTATTTAAAGGAATGGTTCCTGCCAGGTTTGGTGGCACACGCCTACAATCCCAGATACTTGGGAGGCTGAGACAGGAGGATCAAAATTTTGAGATCATAAGTGAGACTGTAAAAATGCAATAAAAATAAAAAGAGGAGGGGGCAGGTCCGGAGATGTAGCTCAGCCCTGGATTCAATCCTGAGTATTAAAAAAAAAAAAAAAGTTCTGAACTCCAGAGCCACCAAGGAGAAACATCTCAATTATTCTCTTCTTCAAGATAGTCACAGTAAGCTGTGATGAATTCAGTGAGTATTGGTAACGCATAGGTATCTATGAATTGGTAACCGGAAACACTTTCTGCTGAGTGAAGCAATTGCCATTTTTTGAAAATCCTCTCTAAATGTAATCTAGCTGTTCACTGCACGCATTCCAAACCAGAGTCTGAAAGCACAGGTGGTTACCTTTCCTAAAAAGATACTTTCTGACCCTAAAAATGTCTTCTGATTCCTAGAGCCAGCTCAGCACTAAACCATGGGTAAGGTAGAGGTGGTATGCGATATAAAGACAGCAAGAGAGAAAGTAAAGCTGTTTACAGTGCCAGTCAGACTGGCACTGCAGAGGGCAGGAGTGAGCACAACCTCAAAGCAGAGAAAGATCACTTCAGAGAGTAAACAGGTAATCTTTAAGGGAGAGTTACAGACACCCCCCCAATACTATGATGACAATATAGTCTATAAAAACAGAAAACACTAGGTAACAGTTTATAGTGATCTACATGCTAATGGCAGAGAGTAAGAAGTATCTTACATGCCACCTAGGGAGCATTAGTGAATGCAAGCTAGAAGACTGTGCTAAGAGGGGATACAGGGCCTGCTGGTAGGATTGCAGAAGTGAGGCCATAAACCATAACCCGAAACTCTGGGAAAGGTTCACTGGGAGAAAGTGTGCAGGTGGTGTGTGGAACAGCTCCAACAAACTGCTGCTAGTTATGTAATGGTAGCAGTATTTATCAGAGGAGCTGGGAGACAGATAAGATAGGCACTTTGCAAACAAGGCAGTGTGTGGTAAAAAGTACAGTGTAATAGTAAAGGCAATTTAAATGGCATTCCTGTCTTTAACCAGAGAAAACTACTCGGCAAACCAAGACAGGAAACAGTTTTTGAAACATGCTTATCACAAACAAAATAACAACAAAAACCAAAAAAGGAAATAATGACATTTCAAACCAGAAAATAAAAGCTATCTATTTTTTTAACCTACTTACTCCCTAAATCTATAGCAAATCATAAAAAGCTTATAGGTATTTTCCAAAACAAACAATGAAGAATGGTATTATATAGAAGGTTCAAATAAACTTAAAACAAGTAAATTTAGCTTTCTGAAGAGCAAACAGAATGCATGCTTGAAAAAACAGGTCTCTTAAAAGATAGGAGAATTTTTTCATTTTTGTTGTGTGTCTAAAACTTCATCTTTTATTGCTAGCAAATTTTACTGTTTTTTTGTCCAGAAAAGAAATGCTGAGGACATGTGCTCAACTTTCTAATTTGAGCAGAACACGCTTTAGTGAACAAGTGCCTGTTGTTTATGGTCACCTTGGATCTTTAAAATTCAATTGTTCTTGTCATTGACAAAAAGTAACACTTTAAGGGATCAGAGAATCTTCCTCTGTCACACATGCACGCATACACACACACACACACACACACATATACACACACACACACAGGGGTGTGCGCACGTACACTCAAGAGTACCAAATCAGGCCCAGCAGCTGCAGGGAGATTACATCATAACTCAGCTGTGCCTGGATTACCCACTTCACACTGGCAGCATTCAAGGTTAGAAAAATGAAATGGCAGCACAATTGGTCAGCAGCTTTTCTTCTTCTGGAATTTTTCCAGGTTCTTGAAACAAACAGACAAACAAACAAACGAACAAACATAAAGCTGCAATGACTCTTGCATTGATTTCTAAACAGTAAACAAGGCGGTTTCCTTGGAGAAGCAGAGCCCATGCAAAGATGGCAGCTGGAAGGCCTCTAGCCAGCGAGGCTTAACAGCTCTGCAGGGCCTGCTCAGGGACCCAGCAGCTGCCGATGGTGGGCTCCAGATGACCAGCTCAAGGCAGCCCGGAGACCTCAGGCCGTGTTTAGCTCTGAGGCATTCTGGCTGGGCGGCAGGTGGGAATCCAGGTTCTCCCTGCACCTCTCCAGGTCTTGGAAGTACGGGTGAGACAGGGCACTGTAGGCAGATATCCTCTTGGCTGGATTAAATGTCAAGCACTTCTGTAATAAAGAAAAAAGAACTGACTGATATAAAACAAGTGAATATAAAGACTGTGCTTATACAGGTATCCTATTCACTGCTGTATGTTGTCTGTCTATAGTTAGCGTATTTATTTAGAAGGACACTAAATGATATGTACACAATACTCGTATATGTCCCTAACATAAGCTGGTCTCAGAAAAGGCAACATCTTTTGGGTGTCTGTGGATACTTACCCAACCAGGCTTCCTCTCAAGGCGACACCCCAGACCCTTTAAAACTTGAGGATGTGCCACCTGCCTCACAAGCGCAAGATCCCGAGTCCGATCCCCGATACAAAAAACAAAAATGAA